AATAAGCAACGTTTCCACGGTGAAAAATTTTAGACTTAAAGAAATGAACAGCAATTCTTACAAATGTTAGTTTTAGCTAGCTCTGAAACTCTTGCATTAACATTCAGAAGTCATACACGGTGCACAAGAACACTTGAGCTGTTCATATTCATATATTTCAGCCAGACAGACAAAGCAAGCCAGAAATCAATAAATGAAGTACTGTGCTGGTGATAGTCTCAGACCATACTAATTTTCAATATTTTGCAGAATGTTGGTAACCAAACAGTTGATGGTAGCCACTGACTGCCATATGAAAAAAGATTCTTCGGAATACTATGGAAGATCAAAGGGAAACGGAAACAGAAACTGGTTGGTTATCAATATGCTGCAAAATATCTTCTTTTATGTTCAGCAGAATAGAGGAATTCATACAGGTTTGGAACAACATGAGGGTGAGTAATGGCGCTTTTCCACTGCATGGTACGGCACGGTACGGTTCACTTTTGGGGGCTTTTCCACTGGGTACAGTACCTGGGACTTTTTTTAGTACCACCTCGGTTGAGGTACCAAGTGAACCGTACCATTACCAAAACGTGACGTGTAAACTCTGCTGATCACGGATTGGCCGGAGAGAATCGTCACTACCTGCGTCACTGAACTTGTGACACAAACACAACAGAACCGCTAGATTTAAATCAGCACAGCCAGCGAAGGATCGAATGCAACCGTTTTGAACAAGCGCACCTTTTTTAACAACCTAAAAATGGCTGTTTCGTTGTCTGTTGAGGAAGTACAGATGTTCCTCTCGTTGATAGCCGAGGAGCGAATATATATATATTAATATATATATATATATATTAATCTTACAGACCCTAAACTTTTGAAAAGAGAGCAGTGGTAGTACATAGTCATCACATTTTTTTAAAAATACCTAAAAATGCACCACTGTACTGCCATGTTTTTCTTTTGAGTAACGTTACCTTGAAGAATGGTAGAAAAGTAATAGTATGGTACTTGGAAATATACCATGGTAATGACATTTTGCGCATTTTAAAATACTTCCAAGAACACCATGGTGGTATAACGGTATATTGACAAAAAAAAAAAACACTGTACCTTCAGTTAAGAACGGATACCACAGTAACTTCAGTACCATAGTATCACTCAAAATACCATGGTACAGTGATGGCACTAGATTACGGTGACCAGACGTCCCAGTTTTCAGGGGACAGTCCTGGTTTTCGGTGTCCTGTCCCCGGAAATTTCAAGAGGTCCTCGCTGCAGCCTGTAGTATGATGACGTAGCTGGATCAGATCCAATACGTATTGGATGTTTGACGAGCATGCGCAGTATTGGATTTTAATGCGCATGCGCAAAGTGGGGCTGTCATTGAAGCTAGTATTTAATGTAAATTAAACTGTAATTAGGAGATATAGGTGTTTCATAGGCTTACATCAATTATATTATACTGTGATTTTAAACTAGTAGTGTATTCGAACTTTAAGCAACGATGGCGTACGGCATTTCCTGATGTCCTTTATATCCTTTGCTAGGAGTTATGGGAAATGTAGGTTTGGGTACCATATGGGTTTGGATTGTTTGTTCATTTGAATGTGTTATTATAAAGGACATTCTTTCCAGCTTATTTTATTATTGCTTCATGGTGAATGGAATTTCATATGTTTATAGAGTTTATTTGTATATATTATATATTTCTTTTTCATTGAGGTTTGAGGTACTGATACCCCCTGTAATTATAAAATGGTTTGATCTGTTTGTTAAAAGGGTGTGATTTTTCTATGGCTGATTTAGTTCTGGTGAGGGATCCCTGGAGAAACATCTGAAGCCCAGAACTCAGTAATGTGCTGATATTTCATGTATCAGTTAGTTTTTCTGTTCTTTTGGTTTTTCACATTTTTTTCCTGCACCTTTGTGACCAGTACATGAGTGTGGCAGGTAATAAAATGGAAATTTGAAGACTCTATGAATGCCTCCTAAAAATTTTATGGAAGAACCCTTACAACAGTGCAACGTCTGCATATCAGTCATGTTACAGTGCTTGTTGTATACTTATAATAATGGATACAGCATTGATGTGCATCCTGGCGATAATATTTGAATTGCAGGCTATTCAAAAATTAAATAATGAAATAAATAAATAAATAAATAAAGCTTTGAAGTTGCCGGTATAGACGAAAACATCGCGGATGAATTTAGACATTAAAGTTTTTACATTGTAATGTAATGTAGGTCATCGTGTAGTCTGTAGATATGTAATGTAGGTCAAAAACCCTTGCTACATGCACTGCGTTAGACTTCACTTAGACCAAGTCGTTAGACTAAGTCGCTGTGGATAAAAGCGTCTGCAAAATGATAAAATGTGAATAAAAATATGAATTTATTCGAGACCTACTACAGCTCATGCGCGTAAAAATCCACTACGTAGTGGATATAGTCCAGCTACGTCATCGTGCTGCAAGCTGCAGCGAGGACAGACTCGGAAATTTCCCCGTTTTACAGCATGTTCAAAACAACGATTACTTTCACCAGCAGAGGGCGCTGTGAGCTATACACTGATTACTATTTGCGCGCCTAGACTAGACTTGGACTAGAGCGCTGTTATCGTCAATTATCAATAGAGACACACCGTTTCAAGGAAGTAAAATACAAACTATATGCATGTTAAAACAAAGTAATACTGTTTGTGTGCACTTTATAACAAGGTATGATAAGGTGGGATTTTTTTTTTTACACACAGTATTAAACATTCATCTTCATTTAACTTCCGCCGTCAACTCCGATATGAATAATAATAATTAAAAAAATAATAATAAAAAAATTAACTAAACAATTACACTTGCAGAAAGCACAAACTTTGTGGTCAAAATTAGCCTAAAATGCAAAATAATAAGCCTGATTAGGGGTAGGAAAAATCAATTTCCAAAAGCATGAACATTACTTGGAAAAAATCATTTAAAAAGTTGTAATTACTGTTTGTGTAAATGTTAAATACAGTCATAAAATGTTACAAATATTTGTTAAATACGGTTTTATTTATATGTTCTCATTTTTATTGTTTTATTTTTAGTTTTTTTGTAAAGTCATAATTTTGTTATAATCCTGTTTTGATCTGTTTACTTTTCATAGTGTGATTTTTGGAGAATTGTTGTCCTATTAATATACTAGGGTAAGTTTGATCCTTAAACATCATTGTAATTACTAATTATGATATTAATTTATGGAAACCAAAACAATTAAACGTACACAAATATATTGTCCCCGTTTTTTTATTTTGTATATAGGCCTAATCACAAGTGTGATTTCAGTGATATTTTGATCACTGAACTAGGAAATGTCCCCGGTTATCATTAAGGATGCACCGAATGGTCGGCAACCGAAATTATTCGGCCGAAAATAGCAAAAAAAAAGCTCTTTCGGCCGAATAAGCGAAAAAAATTCGAAATTCGTAATGAGAATCATTTGTCAACAAAAAGAAGCACTGAGGTCTTCCTGCGGGTTTAATAAAAGTTGAGAAAAAGCAAGAACACTATATACTATATACCGTATTGACCCGAATATAAGACGATGTTTTTTTTCTTGAGAAAACCTTACAGCTGCATGAGTCGTGACTGTCACGTTAGCCTGATGGGACCAAACTCTCTTTGTGATTTTAAAACGTAAGACAGTACCCAGATTTGAAGACTACAGTAAGATTTCACTTCTACTGTTAATAAGATTTCGGTAGGCTACTATTAGATGGATAGTCGAAATGTCCTAATTCAGATGGGCTACCGGTTTTGTTTTTTTTAATGGTATATCAAAAAGTGTATATTTTTTAAATGTGATTGTTGGTACATTTTGCCAGTTTTTACCATACTTTCAAAACAAAAATTAAAATAGGAAAAATATGCAATATGAAAATAATTGAAGACACAATGTGTTTTACTGAGAAAAAACAAGATTTGGTTTTTAAAAAGCCTTTTTCCAAAAGGTACATCTGGAAAAAGGGGGGTCGTCTTATATTCGGGCCAATACGGTACATAGAATATACTCGCATATATAGATACACAGTCTATATTTCTATTTTTTCATAGTCTATATTCCTACTACTGCAGCATAGTTTTTATTATTATGTTTCTTACATTGTGTATGTATAGTTTTGCACTGTCTTGGCATTCATTGTGGACAGCAAAGTAAGAATTTCATTGCTCAGGGAAACTTGTTTTCCTCACTGGGCATATGACAATAAACGCTTTGAATTGAATTGAATTCATTAATAAATGGTTATAACATATTATAAATGTAATAATTACAACAGCTCTACTAAAACATTTATTGTAACATTTACACACGTTTACACTAAAAAATGGCCAAAAAATATTTTACTAATTTATTAATTTTAAGTTAAGTTGTGTTTTATTGGTAGCCTATAATGTCTGCTAGAATGCTAAAAAATGTTCAGTGTTAAGTACAAAAATTTTAATTGTTGTTTTGTAAATTCTGTCTGCTAGAATGCTAAAAAATGTTCAGTGTTAAGTAAAAAAATTTTAATTGTTGTTTTGTAAATTATTTTTTTCTTTGAAAAGCAAGACAAAAGAGTAAAAAGCACATTTTGGCTATTTAACTTATGCAATGGTGAAAAAATTGGCAAAATGGGGGGAAAACCGTGTTCGGCCTTCGGCCCAGTGTTTCATTTTGTTCGGCTTCGGCCAAGAATTTTCATTTCGGTGCATGCCTAGTTATCACTTCAGAAATCTGGTCACCTTACAGTGGATAGTTGTACCACCACTTTACACTTTCGGGGAGTAACATGTTCAAAGTCCTGGTATTACCATGGTACATGTCCACAAAACTAATACCTCCAAAATCCAGTATTTCTACGGCATGCGCTTCCTGATAGAGCTAACGGTGAAGACTGAGCTCCCCCTACCAACCTACAGCTGAACACAACACACGAGTCTCTGACAAACAGCCGCTTCACGCTTCAACAGAACCACTCCACAGCAAAGCTCACTCACCAGCCCATCGATCTGGATCTGTTTCACCGGGGTATCCAGTGGATTGGAGCCCGAAGCTGCTGATTCTTTGCGGCTGGCCATTGTCAGACGAAGACGGAAAAGGCCAAAGCACGTGTAATGGTGTAATAGGAGTTTTTTCCGGAACGATCCGACCACTTCCTGTGTGAAGACTTTTACATTGGCAAAATAAGAGTCGCTATTTAGAAAATGTAATGACTGATTCTCACGATTTCGTCCTAAAATTAAAAGCAAAAATACTGCATTGTGATATTAATCACATAATAATGTAGCAGCTCACACTAGAATTTAATTGGCAACAAACAGCGCAATGGTTGTATTTTAAAACGTGGTAGTACTAGTACTAGGCTCCTGTACTGCGTTCTGAGCAGTACATACTGTATACTGCCTGCTGTTTTCTATTAGCATGTAAATCAGTGTACATTACGCAACAATAAACGATTGAAATAGTATGTTATATTGTTGTCAAGCCTTCTGACTTCATAAATCTTTTTGTGTATGAAATGTCCAAAAAAAAATTTAAATTGAGAAGAGAATTGCATTGTGGGATACAGTATTGATAGTACCACAGTGTGCACACTCCTCAGGAAGTCAGGCTGCAGGTGGATTAATTATAACCAGCAAATTAAAGTGGATAGGACAATGTATTTGAAAACTGAAAGGTGCACTGGTTAGTGTAGTGCAAAGTATAGGCCTAATTAAACTTTTTTTCAGATTATATATACACACACACACACATACACACACACACACACAGGTGCATCTCAAAAAATTAGAATATCGTGAAAAAGTTCATTTTTTGTAACTTATTTCAAAAAGTGAAACTCATATATTCTAGATTCATTACATGTAAAGTAAAACATTTCAAAAGTTTTTTGTTTGTTTGTTTAATTTTGATGAATAGCGCTTACATCTTATGAAAGTTAAAAATCCAGTATCTCAAAATATTAGAATATTTACATTTGAGTGTCATTAAATGACCATCCCTACAGTATGAATGCCGGGTATCTCTTGTTCTTTGAAACCACAATAATGGGGAAGACTGCTGACTTGGCAATGGTCCAGAAGACGATCATTGACACCCTCCACAAAGAGGGTATGTCACAGAAGGTCATTACTGAAAGGGCTGGCTGTTCACAGAGTGCTGTATCAAAGCATATTAAATGCAAAGTTGAATGGAAGGAAAAAATTGGGTAGGAAAAGGTGCACAAGCAACAGGGATGACCACAAGCTTGAGAATACTGTCAAGCAAAGCCAATTCAAACACTTGGGAGAGCTTCACAAGGAGTGGACTGAAGCTGGAGTCAAGAGTCACCATGCTCAGACGTCTTCAGGAAAAGAGCCACCAAGCCACTTCTGAAACAGAAACAACGGCAGAAGCATCTTACCTGAGCTAAGGAGAAAAAGAACTGGACTGTTGCTCAGTGCACTAAAGTCCTCTTTTCAGATAAAAGTAAATTTTGTATTTCATTTGGAAATCAAGGTCTGGAGGAAGACTGGAGAGGCACAGAATCCAAGCTGCTTGAAGTCCAGTGTGAAGTTTCTGAAGTCAGTGATGATTTGGGGTGCCGTGACGTCTGCTGGTGTTGGTCCATTGTGTTCTATCAAGTCCAAAGTCAATGCAGCCGTCTACCAGGAGATTTTGGAGTACTTTATGCTTCCATCTGCTGACAAGCTTTATGGAGATGCTGATTTCCTTTTCCAGCAGGATTTTAGCACCTGCCCACAGTGCCAAAACCACTTCCAAGTGCTCTGCTGACCATATTACTGCGCTTGATTGGCCAGCCAACATGCCTGACCTGAACCCCATATGGAATCTATGGGATATATTCAAGAGAAAGATGAGAAACAGCGGATCCGAGCTGAAGGCTCAATAGTGCCTCAGCAGTCCACAGGCTGATCGCTTCCATTCCATACCTCACTGACACTGGAGTTTGTGCTAAAAGAGCCCCGACAAAGTACTGAGTGCATAAATGAACATACTTTAAACAACTTGAACTTTTCGGTTTTGCAAATCCTTTTTTTGATTAATCTTAGGAAATATTCTAACATTTTGAGATACTGTATTTTTGACTTTCATGAGCTGTAAGCTCAAATCAAAATTACAACAAAAAAACTTTTGAAATGTTTTACTTTACATGTAATGAATCTAGAATATACGAAAGTTTCACTTTTTGAAATAAGTTATCAAAAAGATATTTTCACAATATTCTAATTTAAATGTTGTTTCAACTTAATATTAAAATATTATTTTTGTTTCAACTTTAATATTTACACATGTAAATACCGAGACCTAATAAATTTACTATTGTTGAAAAAAATTAAGTTTAGTTAGTAATTTTCTGCTGTGGAACTTTTAGAAAAATGCATTAACCAAAAACAGGAAAAAAAAAACAAACTGCTGTTTGGTTAAAAAAGGTTCCCAACCTCTGACCTAGGAAGAAATTTGTATTGGTGCTAAGCATACTATAGATCCCATTCAGTAAAAATACTGAAGAGCGATATAAAATGAGAGGAACGTAGGAAACATTTTTTCCAATCAATAGCAAAATTTAATCACAAGTGCATAAAAATTCCAATTGTATGTAGGAGTTTAACAAACCTTTAATAATCATAATTGCCATTAAAAGAGAGATACAAAACACTGAACTATTGTCATTAAATCCACTTGGGTCTCCAAAAATAAACCGTTGTCTCTCAATTGTGACATTATTAAAAAGTTAAAATGTACACATAACTAACTCTACTACAAATGTAAAACTTACTGGGGTTAAGCTTATGAAGGAAAATAAAAAGAGAACAATGGAAAAAAAAAAAACAAGTAGAGAAACTGAAAAATCCCAATGGTTTTGACAATATGGAGGTCCAACATGTACTAACAAATAACACCTATGCAGGTACAATGTCTTCATGATCTATTGGATTTGACTCAAAACCTTTCAAATTGGCCCCAAAGGACAAAAACTGGTACAAAAAGCAACAGTAGCAAAACAAAACTGTTAAATACAACTACTAAAAACAAAAAAATAGAGAGTATGCATCTATACAATATGGAACCGTGGTCCTGGCGTGGCGATGATGTCGCTGTACGGCTCGGTCTGCGTCAGCTCGATGGCCTGCTGCTTCTTCAGCACCAGGAAGCTGTAAAACTTGGCCGCAGCCTGTTTCTTGTTGTTGTTTCGGCACAGCTCCAGAAGACTGATGGACTGGGCTCCGGTTTTAGCCACTACGCGCTGTCAAAACACAGAAGAATATGAGGAAACCTGTTTCGAACATCTTTATTGTGAACATTTGGTCAAATACAAACCTGAAGACCGTGAAGCATCTGCTGAGTTCTCTTGTTCCACCGTCGCTCCTCTTGGTCCTGGTCTCCTTGACCCTCCCCTCCCTGTTCATTAAAACACAGTGAACAATTATCAGTAACATATGGAAGCTTGCTTCCGCAATGGGATACATTTTTTTTTTAATAATTGTGACTTTTTCTCACAATTCTAAATAAAGATAACCTCAGAATTCTGACTACTTCTCCTAGCATTTCCCCCCCCCTCAGAATTGCAAGATAAACTCAGAATTGTGAAATATGTAGTAAGAATTGTTTTGTTTTGTTGAAAGACAAACTGTGGAAGTGTGAAATATAAAGCCAGAATTGCAAGATATAAACTCGCAATTCTGAGAAAAATATCTAATTGTGAGTTCATAGTTTTGTATTTATGTAGCAAATATCTCTTTGCAATTGAGTTAATACTCGCTCAGAATTCGGACATTCTCTGAAAACTTTCTTTTTCCCACCACAAAAAGAAGGCAATTGGTACTTTTTCTCTCACAATCCTGACTTTTTTTTTCTTAGAATTGTGAGGAAAAAAGTCAATTTTTTTCAGAGGTGGGAATGGGCTTCCAAGTCAAAATGAGAGATTTTCTTCCACCTGTAAACAACAAACATCTCACCTCTTCATCGCTGTCATCCTTGTCTTTATCCTTGTTCTTGTCATCCAACAGGTCCAGCTCCGGTACCAGAATTGAGAGGTTGGTGCTGTCCTCAGGAGGAAGATCCACCTGGGGCATGTCGAGCTGTTGGGAAAGGACTGACTGATCTACAGGTTGAAGCGTCTGATCCAACACTCCCATTTGCTGGAATGACAATTGTGCACCGTTAGGCTTTGTTCAAAAGCCTTTACTAGGCAGCATGATTATCTGGTTGACTTACAGGCAAAGCTGCATCCTTCTCAAGCGACTTGCGCTTGACTCCACGCTGGCGAGATGGAGGCGGCATCATGGATTCGTCCAGAGTGGTTCTGCTGCCCTCCATAGAGGAAGCCTGCAGCATACTGGGCTCCTCCATGATGGTCTGATCTGTAGGGCACAAGTAGGAGACTTTCACTTGAGGCTTTCAAATGACTGTGACACAACTGTGTTAAACCAGGGGGTTTCAATCTTTTAGCCATGGACCCCAAAATATGATCTTCCCCATTTAAGAGATCCCCATTCTAAAACTTAAAGGGCAGCTATATTTTTAAATGCATAAAGACTGGGGTTATTCTCATCAACTATAACCATGAAAAAAAAACTAGTTTTCGTTACTTGAAATAAAATTTTAAATGAACTGTAGATGATAAAAAACATTTTTTTTTAGCTAGTTACCATTTTTGTTTCGCTTAAGTTGAAATACTAAAACATTAATAAATACTATATGGACAATTAATTAAAAATTAATAAAAATGACAAACACGCAACAATATTACTAAAACTTTAAAACAGAAAATATAAAAATAAAATCTAATATATATATATATATATATATATAAAATACTAAAACAAAAATTTTATTTGGAAAAATATTCTGATCCAATATTATGTGTTTTCTACTCCCTATAGTACTGTACTCTTAGATGTATTTGGAATTTTTTTACATATTTCAATTCATTGTTTTGTTTTGTTTTTTTATAATTTTTTCATCTTTATTTTACATTTGTACATTTTGAAAACACTTCCACACCTTGGAAATAATTTTCTATTGTACTATATGTTTTCTAATGACTATAGCACTGCACTATTAGATCTATTTATTAAAATACATTTGTATTTTTTATTTTAATATTTTTTATTCAACTTGTTTTCTTTATTTGTTTTCACATTTTTACAGTTTTT